CAAACCCCAAGAAGCCGCGCCCACCCGGCTGGCCCTTCTCCGCTGCCCAGGTGCTGCCAGCCTCGTTGCTACCCACGTGAGTGGCGTAAAAGGGCTCTTGCTCCTGCTAGTATTTATTTCCTCGGCATAGGCCAAGACGATCTTTAGCTCCCTGCGCAATCAGAATGGCTCAGTTGTTGGGTGTGGGCACAGTTGCCCGTCCATGCTAGGGAAGGGAGCCCCATGACTGTCGCCCCTCTGGAGATGAAGCCCTCTTGCAGGGAGAATTTACAGACGAGTAGCATCTGAGCATCTTTCTGAGTATATTTTTGTGCTTTCCCTTCCTCCTCCTGCAATTTTCCTCCAATGCATTGGCAGTGGGCATTTTGTTGGCAACCCTGTCATGCCACCCTGACCAGAACAGGCCAAATGGGCAAATGGCTCCTTTGTCCCAGATGCCACCTGAGGACTTAAACCAGTGTTTCTCAACCATGCTGGCTGGGGAATTCTGGGAGTTGAAGTCCACACATCTTTAAGTTGCCGAGGTAGAGAAACGCTAATGTAGAGGGTCCAAGGCTGGCTGGGGAATTCTGGGAGTTGAAGTCCATACATCTTCAGGTTGCCAAGGTTGAGAAACACTGACTTAAATGTTCCTCCCACTCATATATTCTTCATGCATGCCAGCATCTAGAAAAATGAGTTCACAGGCTTGGTAGACATTATTCTATCTGTGGCTAGTGAACCCACAAGTGCTTCATTCGCAAAAGGCAGGGTGGCCAGAAGGGTGTGTGCCCGGTAGCTGAGACAGAAGGTGGTACATTTTGTCCCTGATGAGAAGAAATGTATTCTGTCTCAACCAAAGTCCAGTAGGCATGTAAGAATCTGCACAAATTTAACACTCAGGGCCCTGGGGGTTATTTAGTAGGAAGTGAATAACACCTTCTTATCACCTGTCCTATCATTTATTTAGTTTTCGCAATTGTAAAATGTGAACAGTTGTCTTAAAACAGAGCACGCGGTCTGTGGAATGCTGAATGATTCCCATAAACCAACTGAACTACGCAGTTTGCAAAGCACATACAATCCTATCTGTGGAATATTACTTTTGTTTATACCAATGCAGTGTTTCTCAGCCTTGGCAACTTAACTTTATGATGTGTGGACTTCAGCTCCCGCATGTTGGCTGGGGAATTCTGGGACTTGAAGCCCACGCATCATAAAATTGCCAAGGTTGAGAAACGCTGTACTAACGTATGAAAGGGGAGAGATGGTGTAGGAATTTTAAAAATGCATGCTTTTCCCCCTCTTTTTCCTAAAATGCTTTATTTTCCCCTCCATCTTCCTGTCAATCCCTTGTTAGGAAAATACTTTTTGTAACTGCACTTCCTTTCCTGAGTATTGTACCTTAATTTTTCCCCACTCTGCTAAAGTTACTTTATAGTGGGTTTAATCTTTTCCCAGCTTCAGAAATGTGCCATTAGCGCCTCCCCTACTGAAGGAGGAAGGCGTCCTATAATCCTGTCCAGCAGCTTTGTTTTCTGCTTCCAAAATGCATTCGTGACTCATTCCTTTTGTTATCTGCTTTGGAAATATAATCAAGGTTCAGTCCTTTTCTTACTGTGTTTCAGTTACCTGTGGCTGTCCAAGAAATGAATATAAATCACCTTTGGATTCCGTACTATCTTAAGTAAGAAGGAGAAGAAACTCTGTTCTTATCTCCTCACAAATAAATAAAATGCCTTCACCTGCAGCTGTATGTCCAGTGTTTTAAATCTTTTAATCCTTAACAATTGCTCTGTTAAGATCAATTACCAAGAGAATCAACAAAGTATAAATTATTCTTCTTTAAGCATATTGAAAACTAGAGAAAATAGGGTCGAACTGGCGGGCAAGTTAGGAAAAGTCATGGAACAATTTTGGAAAAAACAGAAAATGTGAGCTTGGACTTAAGCTAATAATTTTGTTCAGGATTCACAAGGTGCCACAGATGGATCACGTAGGAGGAGGCAATGCTTGACATACGCTGCAGCCTACAGACAATAAATCGCTTGGCTTCTGGTCACCCTCAGAATCAATGGCCTGGGTTGGTGTTAACATGTCGGCACGTGGGGGCCATTCAGACATCCCGCTTAGGACGCAGCTGCTTCACAGCTCGTGCTTGACAACCGCAAGTTGTCCACTAAAGAACCAAACCAGATTTTAAATTCACAAACTTGTTTCTGCAAGAAAAAGAAAAAGAAGAAATTCCAGAGAGGACTAAATGTGAGAACTTGTTAGCCAAGGTGTATACAATCTGCTAACAGTAACAGAAATGAAATGCACTGTGACACTGACGTACATGTTGTAGAAAATTTATATAAACCCAGAAGGTTTAACTGGGTCTTCCTTAACCTGGAGTCCTTGCAGAACTTCCAGGCACACTGCAATCCCTGGGATCACGTGTTGGATTAAGACATGGTTGTTTTTATTGCAATGTGTTAAAAAAATTTTTTTAGTTTTTATTAATGAAATATAACTACAACACAAAAATACACTTGTACATTTACTGTACAACTGTGATTGTACAGTAAAAAGAACCATTCTATATATATTTAACAACTGTACTACCTATATGTAATAATTAAAATAATTAATTAACTGGATGTAAACTACATAAAAAAGAAAAAGTGAATTAAAAAGAAAAGTGAATTAAAAACCAGACTCTGTTGTTTTGCATAAGCATCTCCCCAGTGGCAGTTCCACGCTGGGTCCTCGACTCACAACCACTGATCTACATTATATAAAAACATGTCATTCTATCTTCTCATTTTCAGAATGTACTGTAAAGATATTTCAAAAACTAATGACACATCTTGAATCCATTCTTTAACATG